AGTCAATGAGTTTCATGCAGCTGTAATAGGGATGAGTGAACCAGATCAGACAGATTTAGTATCATATCTTGGGGACATGCATTTCAAGTTCCTGACCTGAGTTCTGGAGCAAACTAAACAAGAGACTTCCCTCAGAGAATCCATCCTAGATTTTATGTTGCGCCCAGTGCATGCCAGAGACGGGACTTGAGAAGTTGATGCAGTGCTATGGAACACTTATGCAGTGCGGATGCTATCAGTAGAGCTCAACGTTTGAGGTACCTCATTGTCAAGTTTCAGTACCTTGATTTAAGGAGATCCTAGTAACCCCAGAACACAACATTTAGAACCATCCTGAACTTTCATCCAAACTTTAAGTGGACATAAACATTTCTGATAAACTGCTGCATGTTTGTACAGTGCCTAGCACAGTGAGGTGGCCTGGTTCACGACTGGGGATCTTAGGCACACTGCAGTGCTTCTACGAATTTAAAACAGTGCACCATGGCACATCCTTTGTTCAGCCTGGAGAGGTAGCATTCATGCCAAAAATACTGTGAAAAAGTCAATTCTAACTGAACCAGCTGGGATCTTGCAAAGAGCCTGTTGCTTTCATGGGCTTTCTAGGTTAAAGAGGTCCAGACAATATCTCATAAGCCAGATAAATAATTAAGCCTTTGCAGGTGAGGGTGGGTGTGGGTGTTACACACATCTCCTTTTGCTCAATCCTTTGTTTTAATGACCCTATTTCTAGTATAGTCCTGATGGATTAAACCTTTGGAAGTTTCTCTATGTTGCAAGCGTATTTAGGTTTCTGAATACCTGAGCAGTGGCCAGATAGAACAGGACGTGGTAGAGAACAGAGCATTCAGAACCATGTGGCAACCCTGGACTGCAGTCATGCTCCAGAGAGGTTTCCTGAACATTGTCCATTATTAATTGTTTAGGACAGCAGTACTGCATAAAATTCCAGCAACCTATGTGTGTTTTTTGGCTGGAGGTTAGAGCAGGGTGTCAGGATTCCTGTGTTTTCTTCATGTCTGTCCAACTAGCTTGTTGTGTGATGTTGGGCATGTTCTTTAATCTGTCTCTTCCTCAGTTTTTCCTTTTGTAAAATGAAGATGCTTCAGAAAAGCATTTGGGATTTCACAGATCTGAGTGAATAATTTACAGTGAATAATTTACATAACTTCTCTTCCTTCTCACAGAATATCTGTGAACACATCTTAGTTTCCTCCAATTTATTTGTGATTTGCATGAATTTTTCACACTTTATACTCTGAATTGACTCATAGACTTTAAGGTCAGAAGGGACCATCGTGATTGTCTAGTTTGACTTCCTGCACATTGCAGGCCACAGAATCTTGCCCACCCACTCCTGCATCAGTCCAGGTCCGTCGTAAATTGCAACATGCAGAGTTGAGCTGGTGGTGCGCAAAGGCTATTCACCCAGGCTCTGCACAGAAGCTAGGCCTCATGTTCATCAGTAAGGTAGAAGCTGACAGTCTAGAATACCCGTCTCAAAAGTCTGAAAGTAGCAGTGTTGATGCTTGTAATACTGACAGGGCCTTTGGGCTGTTAGTGAAATGGACAAACCTCTAGTGTTGGTCTCACAAAAGGCAGAGTGAATACCTGGTGTGGCATCTGAGGAGTCCAGCAGGAGAGCAGGTGTTAGGTGATGGTGTTAGGACTGGTGAGAAACAATCCTCCTGCTCCAGGTTAGGTCTTGGAGTTTTGGTTTCTTGAGCAATGATTTAGAATTGATGGGTTTCAGAGGAACAGCCGTGTTAGTCTGTATTCGCAAAAAGAAAAGGAGTACTTGTGGCACTTAGAGACTAACCAATTTATTTGAGCATGAGCTTTCGTGAGCTACAGCTCACTTCATCAGACTGCTGCAGTTTCCACGGTATACATCTGATGAAGTGAGCTGTAGCTCACGAAAGCTCATGCTCAAATAAATTGGTTAGTCTCTAAGGTGCCACAAGTACTCCTTTTCTTTTTAGAATTGATGGTTTCCAAATATTAGGTCAACATGTCTAATGGGAAACTGACTGGGGAAAAATGGAATCTCCTACTCTTAAGTACATGATGAGTGTTCAGAAACATAAATACAGGTAGATTATAGAACGGGGGTGTGGTACAGCTTTACTGTGTCAGTACACCACTGCAATGGGGAAGGGGGTGAAAGAAGAAAGAAATTCCAAGATCATATGGTGAGTGGGTCTTTGCTGTAGTGACATAAATAACCAGATGCTTTGTGGGGGCACTCCATTGTATAGACCTGGCTTGAGAAGGTCTCCAACAATACTTCGGACCAGATCAATTTTAGAACCAGAGCCGAGATTTTAAAAAGTGACGAGTGATTTTGGTCACCCAACTCCTTAAGGGGGGCCTGCTTTGGAGAAATTGCTAAGCACCTGCCCCCTGAAAATTTAACCCCTTTGATGTGTCTCATGTTGAATACTCGCAGACTGAAGCCACCAACCTCTGTAGTCATTTCTGAAAATTTAGGTCCAGACTCTTCTTGGCTATAGTTATGTTTTTTTCCTCCATCATTGTTCTTTTCCACTGGTGGAAGCATGGCCCTCTGTTAACATTATTCAAAAAGCTTAGGAAGCAGATTGGGCTGGGGACGATTTACACATTACGCTGACATTGGGTTGGGGTCACATGTGAATGGAGCAAAGTTATAATCACCCTGATTCATAGGCAGGGGAGGCTGGGGCGGGGAGAGTCATGCATGACCACAGAGACAGTGAGCTATGGGAGCAGATGAGGGCTTCCAGCCTCATTTCTTTTTTTCTCTGTGGTACATCCCACGGCAGCCACCTATACGCGTGGTTTGAAGCAAGGAATCCTGGCTGCATGGGGCCATTCTACAGTCTAGGATACTGTCACCCTCCAGGAGTTGAGATAGTCTTCAGTGCAGTTCTTCTTAGCTGAATCAGATTTTGTGGATTGCCTTTGGGGAGGATGGGTTTCTCAATAATAAAAACAAACAAAGAGGGAGAGTAAGAAAGAAAAGCAAATGGGGAAATCAGCAGCTGGTCGAGTGTTTGTCACATATCTCCCTGATTCTTAAGCACAAACTTGAGTCTCTCCACATTGGATAGAACAAAGGATGAGTCCATTCTTTAATGGGTTTTTTCTTTTCCACACTCCTGTTTCTTTCTCTGTTTCTCTCTTGCTCCATTAATGTGTCTGTCTGTGTTCTTCTGTCCTCCTACATGCTCTCTGGCCAGTCATATCCCATAAGGGGCTTTACAGAGGAGCTGATTGACATTGCAGACAGTTCAAGTGGGAAAGCTGAAGTTTTAGTTTGCCCTTATGTATGTGAAAATGAAACTGTTTCACAGAGTTCCAAGGTGAAAGCCCAGAGATTTACTGTTTGCTCAGTCTTGTGCTTCTGCTAGTGAACAATAGGTGTAGAGTGCTGCCATGGCAATACACATTTCCAGATCTCCAGTGATGGTAGGATAACCTTTCCCTGTATTTATCACCTCATTATTTTTAAGATAATCCATGATTTTTGAACAACTGGGGTTGGCAATACTGTTTTACTCCCATCTGTATAATTGTGGGTCATAGTAAGGGGAATAATCTCTGTATAATGTAGCTGTCTGAATTACTCATCGGAAATACATTATCCAACAAATTTAGCCCTTTATTTCTGTCCATAAACCAACCCTGATTTCTGCAATTGTATTTATAGGTAATTTCACCGTATAATTTACGTGCACAAAGTTCAGCCTATGGGTTGTTAATGAACCGTTCGCTGTTCTTTACTTATGGTATACTGTTCGTCATGTAAGTCATATAGCACTGTTTCAGCTTCCTGACTGGATAACTTGAGCTTTTTAAAAAGAAGAATAATTACCAGTAAAGAATGAATAATGAACAGCAAATGTCCTTGTTGTTAAACAAATACCCCTGTTTGCCTGTGCATACTGATATTCATAGAAAGAAAAGACATCCCCCAGATGTCTGTATGAAGAAAATCACACTATGCTGGATAATTTTTATTGGGCAAAAAATTCCAAATGTTTGTGAAATGGAAATAATAAGAGGCATGAATGGGATCAAACTCAGAATTCAAATTCATATTTGTGTATGGTGGTTTTGCAGTGTTCGACCAGATCTGTTGTGTAAGAATGGTCAGAATATACCCAAAGTTAGGTCTGGTCTCCACTTAAAGCTTTTGCCGGCTTAGCTATTTCAGTGAAGGGGTGTGATTTATTTATTTATTTTTACTGATGTTGCTGTGCTGGCAAAAGTCCCAGTGTAGATGCAGTTATGCCAGCAAAAAAGTCCTTTTGCTAGTTTGCTTGGGGAACTGGTATAAGCGTGTCTAAACTAGGGAGGTTTGTTAGGAGAGTTAAATCAGCAAGCCCTTTCTAGTGTAGGCAATAATTTAGGGACCTGATGCCATATTTAGGCACCTAAATAGCTGGTCTGTTTTGAAGAGAAGCTGTGTACCTGCCACTTCTAGTAACCTCACTGAGAACTGTGAGTGCTCAGCATCTTTTGAAAATCAGACCATTTGCTTAGGAGCCTAAGTGCTTGTCTATAAGGAAAGTTTTGTGTTATATCAGTATAGGTGTACAGCTGTAGTTATACTGGTATGAACCCTCAGGGTAGATACTTTCATTCTGGAATTAGGGTGGCTTTTTCAGTTTAGCTTAAACCCCTTCCCGAATGACATAAGCTAAACCAAACAAAAAAGGCCCTCTTATACTAGAATAAGTGTGTCCACACAGGACGTTACAGCTATAACTGTATTAGTTTATAGTCACACTTTAGCTTATAATGGTATGTTTCCTATGTAGACAAGTCCTAAAGTTGGCTTTAGGTGTCTAGATTCAGGAAGCCAAGTGTGGAAAGTTTGGCCAGAGCGCATACAGAGGAGCCACATGGCACTACCTCCCCTTGTCCCAACCTAAACGTGCTGTGGATAAAATAGCTGTTCTTTGCTTCAGCTCCTCTTGGCATATGGTTATTGACTGTGTTCTTTCTCCACCCAGCACTGCCAGTAACTCGAACCGCAGCACGCCTGCCTGCTCCCCCATCCTGCGCAAACGTTCCCGGTCCCCGACCCCACAGGACTCCCAAGGAGACGCCATGGTGGAGAAAGGCTCAGACCACTCGTCAGACAAATCCCCTTCCACTCCGGAGCAGTGTGTGCAGCGCAGCTATTCCGCTCAGTCAGGCCGCAGTGGGGCCAAGAACTCCAAGGTGAGGAGTGCGACCCGAGGATCACCCCTCCCACCCCCCATATACACTCGAGTGTTGTACTTACTCTTTGTTCTGTGCCTTTCTTCTCTGCATATCTCTCCTTCCCTCATTGTTACCCGAGAACCTTCGCTGAGGTGCCCATTGGCTATAGGGGCACTTGACTGGTTGGGACAGAGCTGAGCATGTGCTAAATACACCCTTGTCTCCCCTCCACTAAGCTCAGACCACGAGATACCAGTTGCTCTAGCAAGTGTGCCCACACTGCAGCTCTGTAATGGCTTCTGTGGGCTGAAGCTTTGGAACCCGTGTCCCCTTTCCCTGGGAACCTGCACGGTTCTTGGCGGGACCTCGAAAGCCAGCTGTAATGAACCTCCCTTTTCAGCTGTTCACCACGAGTTTCTGTGGCACAAACTGAGGAGGAGGGCTCCAGAAGGGGCTCTGAAAAGCTTCTGGTTTGCTGAGGGTGAAGTACAGGCTGCACAGAGAGCTGGCACAGGTCCTAGGCACCACTTCAGTCCCATTTAAGACCATAAATGGATTCAGGGGCTCTCGTCCACCCAGAACCACAGGCTTCCTTGGCTGCAGGATTACCCACAACCAGTGTATCCCATCCAAACTGGGAGCAGGGTGGATTTTGCTTATTGTTACCAGGGCCCCCCAGCGACCGCTTTGCATCTTCTTGATGGCTGTATTGCACTGACTGGCTCCTTTTCCTAAGGAAAAGGACATGGCAGGAAGGAAGGAAAGAAGAAGCTGACATAGATGGCCTCTCCATAGCTACCCCCCCGCCCACGGTGTGTCCTGACACCGTCAAGCCGAAGGAGCTGTGTAAAAAGCCCTTTGCTTCCCCTCATAGTGCAGGTACCCGCAGTCCAGAAGGTGACTGGCTTTATCATTTTCACGACCTTACTGGAGCCAACTGCAGTGTGAGCCTCACTGTATGGACAGAGTGACAGGGAAAATTGCTCGGCGGGGGCATGCAAGGAGATTTGGGATGGGCCTGTCCAACCTGCTGATTTTGTTAAAGGTGGTCAGTGTTGCCTTATGACATACAGATTCCCAGGCATGTGTGAACAGAACAGGAGCTTTGATGCCAGCCCTAGGGTTTGTCAAAAGAAAGCTCACTGCTCAGAAGTGTATGTGGCTTTTCAAAATTCATGAGGTGAAACATTTTGCCTTGAATGCCATCAGAACATCACCAGCGACTGCACATCTGTACCGTTCCGGCTTGTATGAAATGAGCTGGTGGATTCTCAGCCCGGTTCATCATTGGTTAATTGTCTGTGTCACACAGAATACCCCCCTCTCCCTGCAAACCGTTATCCTTGCCACTTTCATTGTCAGTCCCAGCAGAGAAGCCCCAAATTCACTAGTCCGTGAAGACTGAACTCCTTTTTTGCCCAAGAGGAGGTCCCGTCAGATGAAGTGTGTCCCATTTGTAAGGGGCAGTGAAGGGGAAGCTTGCATCACCACTGCGTGTGCTGTGCTAGAGGACTTTGGTCTCCTGATCTGCCAGCCCACTTGCTACGACAGCATTATATCTATTTAAGGCCCATTTGAACCAGGAAAAGGAAGGAGATAATGTTTCCTGTTGTGTTTCTGGGTTTTCCTCCTATTGTTTTGTGAATCGTGTTTTGTTTTGTTTGTTTTAATTTCTCTCTCTTCCCTCCTGCATGCTCTCTTTCTGATTTAGTCACACAAGCGCCTCTCTAAAGTAAGCTTTCTCTCTTCTCCCCCATTCTCCACCATAGAATTGTCTTAACACTCAGAAATCCTCCCCGAGGTACTGGGAAACACTCCCCGGAATGGGACATTCTCCCAGTGCTTCTGCGGGAGTGATAGCGGCCACTCACCCCAACACCTGTAGCTGTGAGGCTGGGTTCGCTTGAAGTCACTGGGATTTCATTAATATTCATTCACGTGGCATGAGAACTGGCCCATTCATTACACTCCTTTATTTTACTTCTGTTTGATCCTCTAGTTTATTTATTTTGCTATTTGCTTTTCTTTAACCTTATATTGACTCGTTTTCAGTTTGCAGATTGAGACGTCCAGGCTGTGATGCGTAATATAGCTCCATAGCACCATCTTTCTCCTCTTCCCACTTCATAACTTTTTAGAAGTTTGAGACCTGCTGGTTGGTCTCTGTTATTTCTCCACTACTTTTATGACTGGGCACTTGCCATTTCTGAGGTGGGGGATTCATGACAATTGATCACAGTCAGGCTGGACTCAGAGTGTTTTTCTGTGTGAAATGAATATTAAAGATCAGTGACCTCGAAAGAATACAGCTGTACCCCTTAGAATAGACCTGCTTCCTAAGGAACCCTGAGAATTCATGGGCTCACTCTGAAAGGTATGAATGGAAAATGTCTCTCATCAGGGTAAGAAACCAACTCCCAGAGGGGAAGGATATTTGGGTTTGAATTTTTGCAAATCTGAGCAACAACTAAATTGCCTGGAGATCATAAAAAAATAAAACAGGTGATGGGATGATTAGGGGATAAAGCACGAAAGTGAAACAGATTGAATGTCTTTCTGTCCCAAAATTCTGGTCTTTCCCCAGGGAAGACCTTGGCTTCAAATGCTGGGCTAGTTCCCAGTGGACATTGAAACCGATGGTCCTATCTTAGTCCCCCATTGGTTCACATCAGAAAATTTGGCTCAGCCTTGCATTATTGTTGGTCTAGGCTCAGGAGATGTTGCCTGTGTAACATGATGCTGCAAATCAGGATTGAGGTGGATTGAAAAGAATCCTGTGGGGAACCCCAGACAGAATAGCAGAGAGCTCTGCTGGGTCTGCAAAGGGAGGAGTGTTAGCAGAGCTGTCTGAGTGGGATAGGTGGTGCTGGGATATGTCTGAAAGGGGAGCATTGGCCACCACTGGAATGGCAGGTCAGGGTGGAGGTGCATTGGGAGAGTACTGTGTAATTCTCCACTGGAATGGCAGGTGGCACTCCCGATAGACAGGTCTGGTTGGAGGCGCATTGGCATAGATGTATGTGCAAAATACTCACCAAGGTGTCAGCTGAATCCACTTCCTGTCTGACTCTGGCTTTCATGAGAACAAAATATTCTAAACGATATTAGAGAGAACAACAGTGCAATAAACCTGAGATGAGTTCTGAAATGTGGATGGTGAACAGGTGGTACAAAGGAGTTCTGAGCACATTCCCCAGTGGACAGACAGGCATGTCCCAGTACCTCATGCAGTTTGTGTCCATCTCTGCCTTTACAAGCTAGCTGTGCTGAGGGGGAGCCGGTGGAGTTGATTATGAAGCGTGAAACCCCTTCTGACCTCAGGAGAGTTTGGTTGTGGATCAGGGTTAATGGGGAGAGGAAGCCCAGGGCTAATGAAAGTAGTGGACTGAATTCCTCTCTCAGCTCAGATGAGGATGTGTCTGTCCAGGGCTGGGATCGTGAAAGACAGCAATGTATGGGAACACAGAGACATGCAGGATGAAGAAATTCATATTTCATCTCTCAACCTCTTATTGTTTTATTTCAGCTTTTTCTTTTGCAAGCAGAAAAATATGCCACTTTCCTATGCAAAGCAGATCAGATTGATAAGGGTGGGGAACCGGCTTGAGCCCATGAATTTGACTCTGTGTTTATACAGTTGCTAACTGTTGTACAGTACTGGAGAAATGTTTCCGTTTCCTGTTAGTTGTCATGACACAGTTCCGCCATCAGAGGGAGCCACTTCACTTGTCATTTTGAAACATTTGAATAAGCCTGTAATAATGCTTTTCAGGAAGTTTCTTTTCTTCCCCATCCACTGCTAACAGGTGAAACTCAGACAGTCCACCAGTACAGCAAGCAAACACTTTGCTCCACCTCAGCCTTAGATTGCCAGCCAGCCGGTATATTCACTACACATGGGATAGAAGCTATTGCTTTGCTGTTAAAGCATAAACAGGTTTTTTAAAAATTTTTTTTCCTCTTCCCTATAAAAAGGGGTGACCCCACTCAGAGTCCGTTAATCCCACTCACCCCCTAGTGCTGAGTCTGAATGGTAAGGGTAAAATAGATCTATATTGTCAATATAGTTTGTACAGTGCCTTGCACCATGGGGTCCTGGTCCATGACGACAGCTCCTAGGTGTTACAGTAATATAAAAAAATATTATTTATTTATTAGGTTTTATAGGAAGGAAGAGCTTTACAATGTGTCCTGAAGGTCATTAGGTTCGAGCTATCGTGGACCTGGGTGGCATGTTGGAGCCGATTCCATAACTTTCCATGTACGACATAGCCTTTTGAGCCCTCTGGAGAACCACTGGTTAAAACAAACAGGTGCTTGAGATACAGCGTATGTCTGCACTGGGAGATGGGGGTGTGACCCCCTGCTTATGGAGACGCTCACGCTAGCTCTCATCGAGCTAGTGCATTCAAAACAGAGTATAGCTGTGGGACAGCAAAAGCTGAGGGGTGGGCTAGCTGACCTGAGGATGTGTCTAGGGTTTTCGGCAGGCACGTAGTTGGGGCAGCTAGCCCCCTCTCCCCACATGAACCATACTGCTCATGCTGTTGTAGCTACATTCTGTGTTTAGTGTCTGTCTCCAACGAGTATGTCTTCTGAGCTGGGAATCTCACATACCCTTAGTCTCTGAAGCTTCAGCCTGGTAATGGAAATTCAGTAGTTGGTAACTGGGTAGTGTTAAAAGGGAAAGGTACCTAGTGGTTAGACTGGGAGTCAAATCTTCAGGGTTTTAGTCCCAGCTCTGCCACTAACTCATTTTGTAACCTTAGGCAGGTCATTTCACCTCTCCGTGCCTCAGTTTCTCCAGTTGTAAAATGTGGATCATGGTGCTTCCATGCCTCCTGGAAGGTGTTGTGGAGCTGAATTATTTACAATATATGAAGTGCTTTGGAGTCCTCTGGCAGCAGCACTATAGAAGAGCAAAGTACGATCCTGCTCCCATTAAAATCAATGGCAAGACCTCCATTGACTCCATGGGGAGTAGGACCACCCCTGTTGTACTAGCCAACAATCTGAAATTCATACAGAAAATGAATGATCTGTTGCCTCCTACCCAGAGTATTCCCTTTAATCTCCCTAAGCAGAGCTGCCATTACACATGGTATGGTCGCTAATCCGAGCAAGCACTTGGAGAGATGTAGCAGGTTATAAAGAAAAGACTTGTTAAAGAGCCCCATCCCCTCCCTCATCAAGGTGCCATGAGAAGTGTTATCTGGCTGCCGAAGATGAGTAACTGTGTGCTGTGATACCCCGGCATCTGCCCCTCTGTGCCTATGTAGCGCTGTGTCGTGTGGGTCAGTGGAAGCTCTCCTCAGTCGTGTGTGTGATTATTTCCACCGTTTATGATAGATATTATTTATTTCCTTTTCTCCTTTCAGTTCTAATTGTGACAATTTCTTTTTCCAGTATGACAGACTTAACCTGATCAAAGTAAGAACTTGTTTCTTTCTTTTTTAAACCACCTGCTGATTCTTCTGGACTCTTTCCTTGATCCCGACTCCTTCCCACCTTGTAAAGAAATCAGTGCACAACCCGCTTTGGAGATGAAGCCAGGAGCCAGTTTTAAGCTTAGGCTCCTGAGGCTGTGAGCAGGAATCTTCATCTTATATAAATGTCCTGGGTTATTTCAAATTGTGAGAATGCATCCACTGAATGCATCCGATGAAGTGAGCTGTAGCTCACGAAAGCTTATGCTCAAATAAATGTGTTAGTCTCTAAGGTGCCACAAGTCCTCCTTTTCTTTTTGTGGATACAGACTAACATTGCTGCTACTCTGAAACCTGTCAAATTGTGAGGTTTCTCTGACGCTTGTTATTCTGGTGCACAGGAGGAGAAGTCTGTCGACGTCCCCGAAGCCACAATAGTCTTCCTCCTTCAGCTTCCTGTAACATATGCTTCCACCATACATACCTCCTATTCTCTCTCTCTCTCCTGGGCTCCTACACCCCATAATCCATTTCCCTTCAGTTTGTGCTCTCTCTAATCTCTCTCCCCTCTTGGAGTTCTTCCATAGGAGCTCTGAGAGCAGACTAATGCCAGGATACTGGAGGCTCAGGAAGAAGTTTAGGGAAACCTGATGTAGGTTCAGGTCATTTCTGCAAGATCTTATTGCTGCTTCTAAAGTTCCCGCTTACCCTAAAAATATTCCCATGCATCAAACCAAACCTTGGCAGAAGTAAAACAGAGTCCCTAGAAAATGAACCCCTAATATAGGAATAAACATAATAGGATGAATTTACAATCTGAAAAAAGGTTAAAGGAAATATAATAGGCAGTGGATCTGTTGAATAAATGCAGAAACAAGAGCATGTGCCCAGCTACTGAGTTTCCTGGTAGAAACTATAACATGGGTTATAATTATGCAGGAGAAAGCCAGAGAGGATTCAGATCTGGAGGGAAATTCACCTAGAGAAAAAATGACACCACCTTAATCCAGAGTTCTCTATGCAACTAAGCCTGCTACAATTGCTGCAGCAGAGGGGAGTGAAATCTCTGTTACAGTGCTCTTAGTCTACGGCACATGCAAGCTCATTTCAGTAGCCTCAGTGGAAGCAAAGTCCACATTTTCCTGTTACTTTTGGTTTGATTGTGTGTGTGTGGGGGGGTTACTTTTCAGGCACTCCTGTCCTTTGCGGTACCCAGAGGGTTGTAAGGTAGGGTAAAGAAATCTGCATGAGAACCTCTCCATCTCAGGTACCCAGATGCCATGATGATGAGTTATGGATGGATGGGTGGATAGACAAACTCTATCATTAGCGAGAATTGAGCCACACGATGCCCTGGTCTCTGTGCCTTTTGTGGACAAGAGTGGTTTCTTCTTGTTTCTCCTTGCTCCTTTGGATGAGGACTCCCTTCGGGAGAAAAAGCAGCGGGTAAGACCAGCCTTGGAAAGGGGATGGGTCAGAAGGATGTAGCCAGTAAGAATTATCCCCCTCCACAAGCTGTTGGTTGTTTCTGTGTCTTGAAGACCTGTCCACACTGTGATTCACTTTTCCTTGCCCAGATTTGTGGGACAGCCCAGAAATGGACGCTTTATGTTTTTCAGTAACTCTGCTCCATGGGGGTGAGGGCCACAGATTGCATATTCTTATGGTGTTTTTGCTGTGGATCAAAAATATCCAAGGATGCACATGGCCTTTGAGTAGGGTTGGCTCCATGAATGAAGTCTGAGTGCTTGTGAAGTTCTGCACCTGTGCAGCAAGGTGGAGGGGTGGGGGAAGGAGTGGGAGTTGAGCAGTTTTCTGGGGTGGACACCTTTTTCAACTCACTCAGGAGCTGATGCAAAGGATTCTGGGAAGCCTTACTCAAAAGCTGATCTTCTGATTTCAAAATTTAGGAGTATTCAGGCCTGATCATTTCATTCAGGTCTCATTGCCAGTTCCAGGTTAAGAGTTATGTACACAACACCCTGCCTATAAAATGAGCGTATATTCTAGAATGTGAAATTAATACGATGTTCATTTGATGCATGCCTGTTCTTGCCTGGCCTGGGGCAGATATGGACAGATGACATTTAGTGCTACTTGGTCTGAGCAATGTGAACTCAAAATGGCCCTGAAATCCATATGGTGTGGATAGCATAGCAGCATTTCTAAGCTAAGTGGAGGTAGCAAAATCCTGTTCCCAATACCTAGACATAGGCCAAGTATTTGTTGCAAAAAGATTTTTAAAAATAGCTTGTCGTCACATGAGTAGAAATGTAGCATTTTTGCAAACAACGTGAAGTGATCAGGGTGTGTGGAGGTGTAGAGAGGCAGCGTGGTCTAGTCAATAGTGCCCAGTGCTGGAAGCCAGCACACCCCCCTCCCCCCCACCAAGTTCTGTGGTACTGTCTGGCCTTAGTAATACTTTACATTTACAAACAGGCTCAACCCTGTAAATCCTTAGCCCCAGCACAGTCAGCAGGACTGCTCATTTGAGTAAGATCTACTTGCATGAGGGAGAGTTTGCGGATTGAGTCCACGGTAGCATTATGCTTCCCAGTGTCCTGGAGGTAGATAATAAATATAATTGCCTGCTGTTACAGGTGAGAACACTGGAGCCTGGAGAAGTGAAGTGACTTGCCCACGGTCAGGGAGCAAGTCTGGCTCAAAGAGAGGATTACAATAGAGTCCAGGGCTCTGAATCCAAGCTCCTTTCGTAGTCCCTGAGACCAGACTGCCCCCGATGTCTCATTTCCACATCTATAAAATGGGGATAATCATACTTCCAGGCATGTCTCAAGAGTAGGGCAAGTGCCACCTAAGCAATAGCAGTATTACTAGGGGCACCATGCCGGAATGCAGAGCATATTTCTCTCCCTCCCCTTGCAATCCAACAGCTCTCACCTCCCACTGAAAAATGGCGAGCGTGACTTTTCCAGCTGAACTGGCTTTTCCACGCGTTCAAATGTGACAAACGGCCCAGCCTCCCAAAACAGTGCAAAATGTCTCAATGACAGGGTGCAAAATCACAGGCAAAGGGGCAGAGAAACTCTTCATACTCAGTTTCATGGAAAAAAGTGCCATCAGTTTTCCCCAGCACTACTGAGCACTTCTATTACTGTAGTGTTCTCTCTCTCACTCTCTTTGTTTCACATGCTGCTTTCCACATCCAAATCTTTTGAAGGGTCTGTCTGATGCCTTTTGTGACTGACTGAAGTGAAATCAAGTTCCTAGCTCACCCTGGTAGTTCTTCAAGTGTTTATTTGGAAGGGGTCTCAGAACATGCTGGCATTTTTATCAGCTAGCCAGCAGGCCTGTGGGAAAATGGAGCTTGTAATAGAAATGATTGGTGATCATTAGCTCTAATGTTGCTAATGGGTGCTGCTGTTCTGCAGAAATGATTACAAAGTGTGCGTGAGAGAGTGAGTGAGAGAGAGAGAGCATGAATTGCCTCCTGCTGTAATCTCATACTTCTGGGTTTGTTCTTTAAGTCAGATAACTGGGAATAAACATGTTAGACTCTGCTCTGAAACCCACCAAAGTCTTTTGTCTTTATTCCCACTTTCTGTTGAATAGTTATACTGTACATACCAGATGGGTTCTAGTCTCTCTGTCTCTCTCTCTCTCTCTCTCATACTAAGATCTTTGCAATAACTAATACTTCTCTTTTATTTTGTCCTTACAGAAAAGCCAGAGTTGGTATAATGTAAGTACTCCAGTTTCTCTTGTCCCTTGGTACATGTGGGGGTGGTGGGGAAGGCGGGCTGGGTTAAAAGGGGCTTTGCAATGGCACTGGGGCATGTTGATCATTTCAGAAAAGGCGGGGTGGGGAATGGTTCAGAGCTGGCAAGAGGGGATTGGCTTCTTAAGGGAGGGATATCAGAGAGAGGAGCCTCCAAGAATGGGAGCAGATGATGTGGTCTCTCAGTCACTGGCTTCCTGCTGCACGTACATAGTCAGGATCTCCGGATCCTGTCTCTCATTGGATCTCCTTGGAATAGAATAGAGTTTGGCTTTATATAGCACCAAACAGAGCTACAAATATATGAAAATGTTCACGCCTTTTGGAGTGGGTGTGAGGGCGGGAGGGGAATCACCTGCCCACAGAGCTTGCAGGAACATAAACCGTCTTTCATTTCTGCCTTGATCTGATTTTTTTTTTCCCCCTTTGAGATCATGAGTGGCAGCGTTCGGACGCACAACGCTGTCAGTTTTCAGGTTTTCCACAAGCAAATAGTGGCAGCTTGGTTTTCACAGATGAACGCCATCCTCCCCCATGGTCTGATAGTAGATACCAGCCGCACAGTGGCTATGCAGATGAGGTGTTAAATTAGCATCTTTCATTTAAAACCAGATCGGAAGAACAGTGGCTGTCCAGCAATTACTACACATACGACCTTTCCTGAAATTGGGCCTAGGTGGAAAGTGAGAGCATTTTTTTGTGACTATTGGGAGGGAAAAGTGCACCGTTTTAGAAGGGCCTGGCATATTCCAGGGACTGATCATGCGGAATGGAGCCTTTCCCTTCTAGGTCACTATCCCAGGTCAGTACCACTGAAAGCTGTGACTTATGTGGCAGATGCTCAGCTGCCCTAGTTTGGTGAGTCTCCTGGAACAGGTGGCTGCCCCATCAGAAAGAAGTCCTCAGTAATTGTCACTAAAGTGGGGCTCTGTTGGAAGCTCAGCAGAGAGGCCAAGGACTGAATAAAACATGGAGATTGAACTCCCCTCAGACCCCAAGGTGGTCTCTGCACATCATGGGGAAAGCACATGGCTGGGATGCTTTGTTTACTATAACTTTTCTTTGGATAAAGAGACTTCAGAGCCAGATTTTCAAAGGAGCTCAGCTCCCCTTTAGACACCTAAGTGGAGTGCTCAGCAACCAGCTACTCCCATAACAGACAGCAGCAGCTATTGGGAGCTGAGCACTTTTAAAAATCTGGCCCAGGAACTCTAGAGTTGGGTCTATGGCCCTTTTTACGGGCAGCACATTTGCTAAAAGTACATAGTTTCAGGAGTGTTCAAAGCAGTTTTTGGCAGGAGTGAATCACTGGGCAGGAGATCCCAGTGATATGTCTTAGAGCGTTACTAACAGAAGTCAGTGTAACACTCAATATCTTATATCTCAGTCTATCTAACTGAGTTTGCTGTGTCCTTGGTCTTAGCTAGGAAGACAGTGGCAGTGCAGAACCACCGTTGCATCATCAGCTTTTCTGGGGAAGGGCAGTTTCTACTGGTTCTCCACAGTCCAGACTCTCAAAAGTTGTGGCTCTTCATTGAGACTGACCTTGGGTTTTTCTAGGGTATGGGGTATGGCCTAGATTTTTAAAAGCATTTAGGCAATTGAAATCAATGGGAGTTAGTACCTAAATACCTCTAAATATCTGGACATATGCCCTCTATTCAGCAGTCAATACCTGTTCAGTAAAGCACTTAAAACATGTGCTTAACTTGGGACACATGCTTAAAGTTAAGCACATGCTTAAGTGTTTTTTTGAAGAAGGATGGATTTAACATGTGGAGTCTATGCTTTGTTGAACTGGACCCATAAGCTCCTTCATTAAGAATTCCCCAGTCATAACTGATGTAGACTACATGCTAACCTAGCAGTGATTAGTCCAGGCTTATTTGGCTTCCTGCTTCCCAAGGTTCAGGCTCTCCTGGCTACAGAATTCCCAACAGGTATCAGAGAACTATGACCAACTTCTGTATAGGTTCTTGGCAAGGCAGAGTAAAGTTTAAAAAACAAACAAACAAACAAAAAACAAACCTGTGGAGTAAAGCCAAAAATATCTAGAGGTGAGTGAGCATACTAGGATTTCTCGTTTCTCCTTCCCTCTCCCCTCCCAGGGTATCTCAAAAGTCATCTTATCCTCTGGCCTAATTCTGGACCTACCTCTGCTGGGTGCTAGGAGAATTGTGGGATCCCTCCAGCCAATCTTTGAGGCTCTGATACAGACCTCTAACGTCCATGATCACCTACTCTAGAGTAAGATGAATTTGGAGCCAGCACACATGGGAACCTGACTGCTGGAGAAAGCAAAGCATTAGATCCCTCTTAACCTGGGAGCCTAGACCCCAGAGAGGTTGTAGCAGGGAGATACCCTAGATATGGATCCCATGTCTGACCAATACCACTATCTGTTGAGCTGTGTACACATCACAATCGTAGAGCACTTACATTTTTTGTGAGCGCTGAATCATGGAAATCACAGAGAGACGTTTTATCATGTTGCACCAAAGTATCCTTCATCCACAGCTCCCACCCTCCAGTACGTGCTGCCTGTCTGCTCTGGGAGTCTAAGTGGCTGAGGCAGGAATTTGCTCTTCTCTCATAGCACAGCTAGAAAGACACCAAATTTTTCCAGACACTGTCCTTCCTTCACTCACTCACTCACTTTGCACGTCTGCCTGGCCACCACTTCCAGTAGTCACCATTATTTATTTATTTTTAAATCTTCCATATCTCTAAAATCAAATCTCTTTGCTGACTAGTTCAGTTCTGAAATGAGTTTTGGTTTGAAACAGGAATTTTCCTCATGAGAGGTAGAGTGTAGACAAAGACAGACCTCGTTAGGAGGGGAAAGTGTTTAATAAGGATAGACGGGGTGAAGATGGCAGCATGGGCAGAAAACAATAGACCTCTTTCTATTGAAGTCAATGACCAAAGTCTCTTTGACTCCAGTGGGAGCTAGTGTGGATCCAGTATGCACAGACAGGCAAGGAGAGGGACAGAAGCAAGAACAGGAGAACATCTGGCTTTGGAGGCAAATGGAAGCAGTGTAGACAGATGGTGTTAGCAAGTGGTCAGAAATGTAGAGAAAGACAAACTGGGTTGGAGGAAACGTGGATTGCAGACAGGAGGAAACGGCAGAGAGGTGATCAGAAGTATGGAGAGCAGACTGACATGCACAGAAAGGTGGGGGTACTCAGAAACACAGAGCACAGACAGAAGGAGCATGGAGAAGTGGCATAAAGAAGCATGTAAAGAAGTCAGTAACCATAGCTGAAGATGGCATTGTGTTTTATACAAGAGCTGCTTGATTTTGTGACTGCTGGGAGCCATTCCCTGCTGCATGATGCTTTGGTGTGATCTGCTTCTATGGTTCTCTTGTGGTTTTGTGTCCGCTCTATCTTATCTTTCTGTTCTCTTGTTTTTCCTCCATGTATTTTCAGCATGAGAGACAGCACATCCGGAGAGTAAGCACTGGCTGCGTTCTGCGTGGTTTTTTTCTTTTTTTGTTTTAGTCCACAAAGCCGTTGTGGCCAGATGAAAGCAGCAATGTGGAAACGGGGATGGGCCACCTGAGCTCCAGGAAAGGAATCAATGCTAGTGATAGCGTAACAGTTGTCAGTAATTTGCTACTGCTTTGCATTGTGTTGGGCCAGTCCCTCCCACATGTCTTGCCAGGATCACCAGCACTGGGATAACCAGACGCTTTCCCTTCCCCCACCTCCGGGGACAGATCCATAAATTAGAGTCCATCTCCAGGGGGCGTCTAGAGAGCTCGCCTTTGGTGTAGTCTTGCAGTTTAGTCAGCTGTAGGGCGTGTCTTTAAACCTGTACATGTGAAACACAGGTACACCTACACTGCACGCAGACTCACTCTCACCCTCACTTACGGAGCCTCATGCACCCTAGGAGTGTAGCTCTTCCCTGAAGCGCTCCTGCCCATCAGCTTTGTATTAATACACTGGCTTTGGCTGTGGAGGCACCAGCCCTATTCCTGCTGCTTTTAACTGGTTTTCTTGTTTCTGTCTGGCCTGCTATGTTATCTCCCCTCCCCTTAACACCACTTTGACCTGTCCCTGCTTCTCCGATAGAAGTTGTTCCCTCCCACGTTCCATTTTGTCTTTTCTTCTTCCAAGACTACAGCAACCTCCAGCTGTGAATATTTGCTTTAGAACTCACCCTTCCTCTGCCTCCTAGTGTGTTCTCTGGTGCCACCCATGCTTTCCAAGAGATGCATGTGAGATTTGCATCAGGACCATATCAACTGGGGCGGGGGGAGAATTTATAGTTTGTGAAGTTCGAAGTACAGAACCAATAGAAGAGTAGGCCCTTCTTCCCCAATAGTGAAAGACCTTCCATCTGTCCTAGCCCTTCTCCTTCTATGTCCTGTAAATCAGGGGTGGAGGCTGACTGGCAGGTGCCCAGTCTGAGAGTTAAAATACAGTACCAATTCAGGTCCCTTTCCTCAGGGCCAGCTAAGTACCTGAAGGAGATTTCCACAGGGAACTCTCAATAGCCAACAGAGGCCCTTCCAGCTTTCAGCAAGCAGGGCGGGGGAGAGGACATGCCGTTCTCCTTCGGTGACCTTTCTTAGATATCTCCTATGCCTCCAGCATGGTACCCATGGTGAGAGTTCTCTCATCTCCCCAGGGCTGAGCCACCAGCAATCCTCTATATAATATCCAGTAGCCAGTCTTGTGACACTTAGTCAACTGCTTTCTCTGGAGACTACAGCTTCCAGCAACCCTGGTCATAAAGGGGCTAACAGATCTCCTGACCGAGTCTGAACTCACGAGCCAGTGCTCTGTTCCAAAGAGCTTCCCGGCTTTAGAAAGCCGCATCGCACACCTGCAGTGAGAATATGGGCTGCAGCTGAATCATATAGACCCATTTCTGATCCAGAGTGAACACATGCAGCCCTGCACCTGTGCTCATATCTCCTAGGTTGAGGAGCATGGATTTATTGGCTGGCTGGTTGAGTTCAACAGCCGTGAAAAGGGAAAGCTGCCCAAGGCATTTCCAGAGCCATTGGTGAGGAGCAGCAGACTTGGGTCCTGGCTTGTCAGGATTATTAGCCTGATTGATTAGAAGTCCATTACTAAGCACATGCAGACCTCTGCAGTCAACATTTAGCCCTCAGGCTGCACTCTGAGTGTCCCTCTTCTGGGCTTAAGTGCTCTGTGTCTGCTCATCTGTTTTGAGACAGTGAGGTGCGGGCATGCAGTGACTGAGATCAGCAGTGAGTCGCCACCTAGCTCTGTTTACTAAGAGAGTTGTCTGTCTGCATTAGCACAGGTCTCTTGTTGTTGTTGAGAGAAGGGGTCTGGTATGTCATCTCCTCCTGTCCAGTGACTCTTAAGGTGACGGAGTTTTCTCAGGCTCGCTTCACCCTAGAAAAGGTTTGCCAGTATAGCTCTAGCTACAAACCCTCCCAGTGTAAATGCAATTTAGACTGGCAAAAAAGTGTTTTTGCTAGTATAGCTTGTATCGGATTCCTGAGCGATAAGCTATATTGGCAAAAACACTCTGCCAGTGTAGAAATATCACTAGTAAAATCCCCCCCTTAAACAGTATTGCTATATGTTGGCAGCTTAGAAGGAACCTCATGTCCAGGCAAATGGATACAATTCTGTCCCTCACTTCTCCTCCTCATAACAAACCCACACATCCCTGATATTTGGTTATGGGTTGAAATCACTCCCTTGTGTGAGTTTACCGGCAGTGGGACCCAATAGCTTATCAACTCATGCTGCTATTACGTACGGGGAAGAGGGCTGTGTTATGGGCATTGTGGTAGATGTACGAAATCGCTTCACTGCTTTTTCTAAAATAGGGTGTGTTTGGTCGAGCCGTTCTGCTGTGTGGAATAATTCTTCCAATCCCCTTCTCCTGGAGAATGCAGCTAGCTGTTCATGGGGTGTCAAGACACCATCCCTCCCGTGGAACAGCTATTTCTTAGCAGTAGGAAGAAACCAGGCCCAGGGCAATATGGCCCAACCCCAAGTGTTCAGAAACCATGAGTCAGGCTCCCAAAATCATGAGATTGGCTAAGAGATCATGGGATTTGAACTATAATAAATGTTGGGTTCTTTTTCTTTGCCTCCTGGTTTTTGAGACATCAGGGATTTTGTTTTCAAGCTTTTCCCCACAGCCTCGAGGGCTAGAATCTTATTTTATTTTAAAATGAGAGCTGGGATTGTCATGTAGTAACATGACTTCAGGAGTTGGATCTGTAAGAGAAATACCAAATATTTTGAGACTTGCAATAAAATGGTGAGAGTGAGCAACGCTGGGAGAGGGTTTCTGAGGCTCAGTAAAGGAGCTGAGATTAGGGAAGTATGGGCTAGTGTGAGGCCCAGTGCAGGGAAATCATGGAGCTGAAAGGGAAAGCCAAGGTGCGAACACCTACAAGAGTAAAAATGGGCATGAACAACGAATTTCAAATCCAGAGTCAAGCTTTTCCAGGATTTGGAGTGTTTGGATCTGGTGTTCTGGTCCAGCCCGTTCTAGAGAGAGGGCCTAAGCCATGAAATCAGGTTGCAGAACCAATCCAATCTTCCCCAAAGTTTGTGAGTTTTCATATCCACAGTTTGGGCTTGGGCCTGTCTCTGGCACAGAGCTAGCTGTGTGGGAAGCTGGAACGCTCTTAGCCACTAGCAGGAATCCCCCAACCAGTAAATGTTTTGAAAAGTCTATATGTGTATTCTGGAAACATTTCACTTCTTTCCATAAACAATCACTTCTTTCCTTTCTTTCTTTCCCCACTTGGGACGACAGGTCCTGTTCCCTGTCAGAGCATGGAGGATTCAGTTTATATTCCTCAGGTTCCACATCCAAGGTCAGAGCCAAGGAGGACTCTATGGAGACATGTAGACAGCCCAGCCTTCCATTCTTGTCTTCTGCTTGCTCCGCTATAAATCACTCTGGTGACCCTCCTCTCTTGACTGTCCCTAAATAGGGGTATGACCTCAGGGTTCTTGGCTCTCTGGTGCCAGAGTGTCGGGCTTCTCCAGCATTTCCAGCTGCTGTATGTAGCAAGTGCAGCTTCTGTAAATCACCTCCTGCGATCTCTGTGCAGATGGAGGCCAAACCGCCGGGAGTGGATGCAGTACTGCCAAATATTCCTTCCCAGTCACTGGTGAGAGAGAATTAGCAAGAGTAAAGAGATGTCCTTGACGAGATAGAGCAAACAGAGCTGGCTCCAGGGACCTGCAAGACCCAGGTGCATCCAAGGGGCTTTCTATCGACTAATCAGCTCCCTGGGCCAGCCCTACCCCCACTCTCATATCTCCCTGTAGAGTTCACCCCCTGCAGCTTGCTTTCTCTCTCTCCTGGTGTGTGTTTGCATTGAATATTCTCCTTCTCTGTTTCTCTGCCTCAGTTCCTCCACCTCTTCTTTTCCTTATAGCTCACTCTAAACCCGCTATGCACATTGGCTTCATGATAAGGGCATCAGGGAGTTCCACCCTGGTTACAAAAATCATTCACAAGAATTCACTGCTTTCTGCCTACATCATTGAAATGCCTCTAGAATTATTTAAACTTCCTGTAAGAAACCTGCTGAAAGGCTCTGACAGCACAGCAGCATGATTCAATCCATTTCTCTTTGAGAGCAAAGTCTGGGGCGCAGCTCTAACCACAGACTATAATGAGTGGGATGAAGTGCCACCAGAAACTCTGCATTGTTTACAGTTGTCCACACAAACGCTGCACGCACACACAAATGAACTTTCCCAACAGTGGCTCCAGAGGAGAGTTCGGGCTATTACCTCTGTTGATCCACACACACAATTGAACATTCAGCTTCTAGTACCATCTCACTCAAAGCAGCATGTGCTACCCTGTCATCACAAAACACCGGAAGACCAGAGATGGGATTGTGATAAGCACGTGCTTTTCTCTCGCTCTCTACAAAATCATCATCCAGACCCTGTTCAAATTACAAATACATTCAAGATGGAAGACCAAAGTCTCTAACAAAGGCAGTATACTGCTTGCTGGGAAGGACTGATTAAAATACAGCATTCAGTCAAGTGCTGTAGTTTCATCTACAGGAGCTTTGGTGTGACATATGCCTCACGGCAGTACTATGTGCAATAATACAAGCAAACTCGTGTCAGCTGCAGCATCAGGGCCTGATTTGTCAATACAATGTATTGCTGTTTGCACCTAAGCAAAATAGGTGGACCCCCCCCCCCCACGCAAACAGAATGGTCGTTTTTTACACTCCCTTTGCACAGGGGTGAATGATGGCACAAGATGCAAGATAGTGGAGAATCAGAGCCATGGTGTACTCAAACTGAGAGTAAAAAGTAGGAGAGGCATAAGGTCCACTGGAAAGATGAAAAAGAAAGGTAGTGAAAGAAGTTAAATGGAGGAGAGATTGAAACAGAGAGACACCCTCCCCCCCCCCCTTTTTTTTTTTACTATACGAGAGAGAGATTCAAGCTCTCAGAGTAAAAGATCT